CGGGTGAAATAATGATACCATGCCAAGTTTCAACATTTTCAGAGTTCATTTTATAGTGATTTTCAATTTCACGGTCATTTAGCTCTCTAACAATTAGGTAAACGACTGAAAAACAACAAATGATGTCAGAACATGTTGGAAATTAATGACGTCGCTTTGAATGCTGCATACTGAACACAAAAGAAGTCTGGAGTTCAAATAAGTTTAAAAAACATTGAAGTGTCCGTGTAACAGATGAGTTCTCGTCCGAAACCCTGATACTCCGAAAGAGATTGTCTAGTTTGTACACGAAGTGCGTCCAGTTTTTGCCGTGACCCTCTCTACTCTTTCGCACATGCTATGGAGGTGAAATAATGATACCATGCCAAGTTTCAACATTTTCACAGTTCATTTTATAGTAATTTTCAATTTCACGGTCATTTAGCTCTTTAAACAATTCGGTAAATGACTGAAAAACAAATGATGTCAGAACATGTTGGAAATTGATGACACGTCGCTTTGAATGCTACATACTAAACACAAAAGAAGTCCGGAGTTCAAATAAGTTTAAAAAACATTGAAGTTCAAATAAGTTATTAAAAATAAAAAAGAGGTGCAATGCTGGTTAATTTGCTTCAAGCCTTTCGGAATAGTGTAGACTGCACTGCACATAGCTCAGTGCAATCTATGCTATTCCGAAAGGCTTTAAGCTGATCAACGTGCAGGTGAGCATTGCGCCTCTTCGTCATTGTCTCTGCACTCACGGCTTATAAACCGCTCATACTGCCTCTCTCTTGGCGAGGTGGGACTAAAAATCAGCTTACTAAGAAACTCTAGTACCGGTTCATGCCATGAACCGGTACTAAAGGTCTTCGTGGGGGCCCTAGCCTGACCACAGCCGCACTGGCCTCATTAGTACCGGTTCGTTGCATGAACCGGTACTAAAGGTTGCCCACAAACCGGTACTAATGATGCCCGCCCGCCTAGCCATTGGAACCGGCACTAATGTTTACATTAATGCCGGCTCAAATTCAAACTAGCACTAATGTGCTTCACATTTGACCCTTTCTCTACTAGTGGTAGAACCCTAAGTGGAGAAATCCAATTGGCCGCTATCTGACATGCATCTTGAATGTCTTCTCGTCAAGATCGGGTCGTTGAGATTCTTTTACTAGAGAGTGTATTGCTATGGGGTCCATCATTGAGTTGCGTCGCAGTTGGCCCAATCATGGCGCCATCTACTACCAATGTGACTTTACATGTATTGTCAAAACATTTTTTTCATGTGGTATCTATTCAACTCGATCTATCCAATCCGTTACTAGTTTGACATCGAACGGCTACTATTGTTTCTAAATAATTGAAGACATGCATAGATTGTATGATTCTGTTAGGAATTTTGGACACTTCCAGTCATTGATATGTTTGACTACACAAGACATTGGATCATAACATTCAATCCGACTACCTAACAGTTGATTGAGAATTCACGTCATCAATGTAAAAAAAAGTCAGTGGATCAAATATACAGGTAAATAAATATTATTTAGTACTTCCTCCGTAAACTAATATAAGAGTGTTTAGATCACTATTTTAGTATTCTAAACGCTCTTATATTAGTTTACGGAGGGAGTAGCACAAAAACAGGTTGGGCATTTGGAAAATGTGCAACTGGTCTACTTTTTTTTTTGTGCGGGGGCAACTGGTCTACATTAGTGTAGCATTCCAAAAAAATATTAAAAACAAATGTGTATGTATAACTTCAAAATCAAAATGTAGGAGTAGAGAATCAGATGAACCTGTTGCACATTATAAGTACATGTGTGGCACATCTTCAAAATGTGCAACTGATGTGTATTAGAAGTACCACAAACTAAACAGAGTTTGGAGACCCATAGTACAAATACCAGAATCAAATAAACATAGTTGCACATGACAAGTACAGTAGTTACACATTTTAGAAAATGTGCAACTGGTGTAGATTAAAAGTGCAGCTGATAATAAGAAATATAAGGGACAAAAGATTACCATTCCCGAAAGTAATCCTTGCAACCTGAATATAGCAGAAAAAATACAAGAAAAGGTGTATACATGATGAAAAGGTCCATCCTGGACCTCCAGTAATTCTGAAGTGTGAAATAATCCAAGCTATAACACCATACATAACTGAGATGGAATCAACAGAAATCACACACTCAGAAAGAAAGAAAAAAGTCGACCGGTGGCAAAAAAAAGTCAATAATCACAAGCAAAACCACATAAGATTAGGGTCATCAAATATGTACAAAATTTATTTCTACAACCCTAATTTGTAGTGTTGGTATTTTAATTTCCCCACGAGAGGATCAATAAACCTTTTCTCACTCTCTCCTTATTCCTCTAATTTCCTGTGCTTATTTTTGTGTGAACAATTCAAAGATTTCACCAATTCTGAGTGACATGAAGAACAAGATAAGAAGCCTCAAAAGAAAAACCTGCTTTCTCCACATGCCTGCTCAGGGATTCAGGTCCAGCTGTGCATTCAATAGCTCTGTAATTTATTTCTGTACTGTGTTATATTCTTTCGGAAAAATTAGTTTGCTTCTTGGTAGAAGGAGAGGACCATGCATACGGTCAACCGAATATCTTAGAAAGATTGTAAATACACACACATATATATAGAAGGTACACATTCCTCGATCGGTATGCCAACATTTTATTCATTATAAGTGGGAGCATCATGCAGCCTTTTCTTACACCATATATACGAGAGCACTCATTTCTTCTCGTTAAGATTTTTGTCTATGTCGATCTGAACATTGTTCAGAGACGCGAATCGATGATGGATTCAAGCTCCTGTGCCTTGTCGCACTGCGCACGAACCCATCCGAGCTGCTTGCTCTCGTTGTTGTATATCACAAACAGATCCTGCATCGTAACAGCTGCAGAACAGAGGATCTAAATAGATATCTTTTATAAACAGGCAAGGTTTACTAGTTTCAAGAGCCCCGACAATTTTCTGAATCTGAGCTTCGTACCTCCTATCAAGATAAAGTTCAGTTCCTTCAGAACAGGATCCGAGGAGGCATCGCGGATAGCCAAGCACGTTTTCCCGTCTTCCTGCCATGCCAACAAACATACACAAGACATGTTAGCCATTAATTGTTCAGTGATGCTTATCAGTTGGGTTGTCGAATGTTCACCTCCACGATGAGGTAGTTTTGAGGAGGGATGTCCAGGTAGCTGGTGCCGTGGGCGTGGGTAATTTTTAGTGACAGTGCCTTGAATTGGTTCTTCACATCATTGACAGATCTGAATGGCTTTTTCCCTTTCCAGCATAGAGGCAGAGCACGACCCTTCACCTCTACAAGTGATGATTCACTGAGAGTGCCTCTAACCTGAAAGACTCAAATCCCATGAGTACCATTTTATTTTATTTATTATCTCTGTTCAAAAATTATGGGCATCAGAAATTCAGAATGCACTGTGGTTTGAAATTTACCTTTGAAACAAGTTCATTGTATATCTGGGCAGGCACGAAGGTGTACGTGGTACCACTGTCAAATACAGCCTCAAATGTTGGATTCCCTCTTATCGGCTGTTTGTCAATGAACAGCTCTGCTAGGCCAGGTGAGTAGTAAAACCTGGGGGAAAATGTTTGGAACCAAATGAAAAGTAAACAAGCAATAATGACACTCTTCTCTGACTATGCATGTTAGATCCAAAAAAACAAAAAAGCGAAAGCCATGATCACAAAGAAATTCTTACAAGGATTCTCTCATGGGTACCCAGGTTACGCCACGGGACGGCGGATTGAAGTCCCCGACGAGGAGGACGCCCTTTCCTTTGCCGCTGAAGCAATGTCCAATGACATTCTCTGTTATCATCTTTAGCCCCTTGAGTTGTGCGGCAAAGCCTGCCTTTCCCCTCCCAAGTCCAAGGATGCCATCTACCGACGAGGGCGGTGCGTCTGCTGGTTCCTCCTGATTGTATCCACATCTGTGCAAAATGAAAGTGACTGTGCATCATCAAAATCCAAATACAGTTAGCTACTGAACATGTAACACTAATATTTCAGTTAGTGCCGTACCCGAAAGCGATGTTTTTCTTGTCTTTCCCAATGACAGAAATGATGTCAGTGGCAAGGTCACCTTCTGACTTCCCGGTGACATACTGAATCTCGTAGTGGCATCGATGTGGATCTTTCCTGGAGCACTCAGGGATCCCAGGCACGTCTCGGCGCATTGCAGCACATAGCGGGCCACCACATTGCACCCTCAACTTGTCAGCTGCTGGCTTGTAATATGGGTGTGGTGGCCTCTGTGGTACAACGAAACATATATCAAAGCAAAGATCGATCATACCAAACATTTTTCAGAAGTATCGTTACATGTGGCATCGAACACAAAGTATTACAAATTGGATGGCAATATGTGATATTGCAGAACCGAGTGTTATTAGTTGTTACCGGGTGGCAGCCCTTGCAGCCGTGGACCGGGTGGTGGCACTCCAGCCAGGTGAGGTTGCTTCCAGTGTCGACATCCAGGAAGTAGGGCTTCGCGGGTTCACCGATGTTCAACGTAGCATAGAAGTGGCTGCAGAGGTACAGAAAAGGCGCGTCAAATATACAGAGAAAACCTCAAGACTGAGAAGGCCATGAAGAGAGGGTTCAGAGAAACATACCCAACAGGGTAGACATTGCCTTCGAGCGGGAACTTGATGGAGGAAGACGGCGCGATTGGGAGCAGGAGGAGGAGGAGACCGATGATCGGAGACCGCATGGCAGCCATGGTGGGGGAAGAAGGCAGAGCTGTGGTTTGCACCCTTGGGTCTCACTCCTCTGCTGGAACTCTCTGTTCCTTTGGATGGTGCCAACAAGGTGGTGAGGTATTTATAGCCGCTGGCTGCCAAGCTTAGTTTCCTCCGCTGCTTTCTTTTTATTGTGCATTTTTTGTGGGTTTTAATTTTGACTTTCTTCTCAAATGATGTGTAATTAAGACTTAATGAAATTAAGGCAGACAAGAAAGATTTAAACAGCAAAAAAAATTATTTGGATTTACATTATCGTATCACTCAATTGAGTTCGATGGGTAGTGATATAATTATACCAGCCAACCATTTTATAGAATTCACACAAATAAATGACCAGTAAATAGTGATGCTCTGCTTCACACTCAAAGATTACTGAGACTGTAGGGAAGATATATTTCAAATAAATAATGGCATGCCAAATGATACATGACTAGCAAAATAATGAGGCATCATATTTTTGTAGCTCAATCTTGACTTTGGAAATTCGAAAATCAATTTATTTTTGTTGTTCTTCTTGGCTGTACATGATACACATATATGCAACGTAATGCATCTTCCAGATATATGCATACTATTTACTGCAGAAATTCTTTAATTGTGTGGGCATATGTAGTGTAGCTGAAGAGTAATGAGAACAGTGGTTCACTTCCAGTGAGATAACTGAATAACTTGCACTCCAATAATGTTTGCCCAGAATGGTAAGAGTAGAAAGGTTCGTCATTTCTGTCTTGGTCATTCTTCAAGCACACGTTTCACGGTTGTGTTCGCTACGAAAGGGATATGCATATTGCTAGCCAAATATGTACATGGAAACTACAGAAATAGATAAGGAACATGGAGGCGGTTTCAATCTCCACTCTATCAAGCAACCATTATTTCGAAACTTAGAAGCAAGCATCATACTATGAAAAGGAAAAATATGATACATGAACTGACAACAAATACTGTTGCAACTCATGCCTATCAAAGCTAATGCTCAGCATGTGCCAAGTGTAACTGCTCAGGTTTGATCTCAAAATTCTGCACGCAGTAGGTTGCAGACACAAAATCATTTCATCTTCATATAACATTACTATATATACAACATCGGTTTTTAAGTTTCTCAGATTTTAGAAGTAACCCGTATTTACAATAATGCAATTTCAGTGTACTACTCACTCTTAAAACCACGGAGTCAACCTGTCTATGTGAACACAGCTGTCAGGAAAGTATACAGTTACAGAAGGCATACCCACAATGTTAACTGCTTGATCCAGTGGAACATTCAGTTCTGAGTCTGATGTAAAATATAACAATCTTTCAAAAAAAACACGCAAGCATCAGATATATCATGTATCGAAAATTTTAGAGCTTCGAGTGAACGTGATGCCAGAGCAAGGATTCCATCTTATTACAGGTTAGTGACTTGCTATTTGTCTCTACTACATGATCATACTTATCTCCATTCACCCCTCATTTTGGCCAGGCATGTTAAGACAGTACAGACTTTATTTGGATGGCAACAGAAGCATTCAGTTAGATGGTAACAACTGGCTCTATATGGAGTATCTCATTGCAAAACAAAATGTAGTAATCACACCTCAAATAATTCATTATGTTCAGAAAGATTCCCATTTTTCAGAAAAAAAAACTCCCTTTTTTACTCAATTAGGTTCACACTGAAAGAAGTATTACATTGCAAAATACTAAAATATGTAGTGAGGAAAAACATTGCCGTGATGCATAGAAGCAAGGAAATACATAGCCCTCAGATGCAAAGAAGTATTGCGATCTACCAGGATAGCCCTCACGAGCGTATTAATCTTGCTTCATGGTTGACACAAAGTATACAAATTAATCAAGCTGCATGTCCGCAACAAACCTCCCAAGGTGAGCTCCCTCGAGGCGGTGTGTTCCATATTTGAGAATCACAAGTCAGAACCAGTTACAAAGCTCTAAGTATAATGCTAAAAAAAATCCGAAGCAGCACTAGTCATTCCAAACAATCACACAGTCTGACAGCATTTTCCATAGAAAGAAATGAACTCTGAAAAATGGTCTAAAGTATAATAGCTCAACGATCTTAGGAGCTTCATCCTGTCAGGTTTCATTCAGGGTACCAAGAAAATACAAAGAGCTTGATTAAGCTTTGCATCGGTAGCAGCTAGCTTCCCATGCATGCATATGATTTCTTAATCACATTTCAGTGTCTCACCATGACCAAGATATTTTGACTTTGGAAATTCGAAAATCAATTTATTTTGTTCTACTTGTCTGTACATGATACACATATATGCAATGTAATGCATCTTCCAGATATGTGGATACTATTTACTAAAGAAATTCTTTAATTGTGTAAGCTATGTAGCATGCATGAAGAGTAATGAGAACAGTGGCTCATTTCCAGCGAGATAACCGCAAAACTTATAATAATGTTTTCCCAAAATGTTAAAGAGTAGAAAGGTTCCCGTTTCTGTCTTGGTCATTCTTCAAGCACACGTTTCACGGTTGTGTCCACAATGAAAGGATATGCATGTCACATAGCAAAATATGTACTAATGACTCATCCTGGAAACCACAGAAATAGATAGGGAACATGGAGACGGTTTCAATCTCCACACCATCAAGCAACAATTATTTTGAAATTAGAAAGACGTGAAAGCAAGCATAACAACTAACACTTTTGCAACTCACTATATATACATCATCATCCAGCAATCAGGATTGGTTTTACAGTTTCTCAGATTTGACAAGTAATCCACATTAACAAGAATGCAATTTCAGCATACTACTCACTCTTCAAACTAGAGCCATCCTGTCTATGTGAACGCATCTGAGCGGAGAAATATAGAGTTACAGAAGGCCAAGTCACAATGTTACCTGCCTGATACAGTGGAAGATTACAGTTCTGACCTCGATATAAAGCATAACAATCTTTCAAAAAAACTGAAAAGAAAGCAAGAATCAGATATATGTATTGTGAATTTTTCTTAGAGCTTCAAGTAAGTGGGAAACAAGAGCAAAAACTCCATCGTATTATCTCTACTCCTAATGGACGAGTTGGTTGAATAGTCCCATCATTTTCAACCGGTTTATTTTCAACCGGTTATTTTTCGTCTGGTTTTTTTTTGTCCCACCTCCCACCACCCCCTTCCATTGGTTTTCCTCCTCTCTCGTCTGGCCGGCAATATCCAACGTATTTATGGTAATCAATCACAATTAACCCACGCATGGAAAGGCTATAAACTCAAAAATCTCATCAATCCAAATATGGTAAGGTCATGACTCAGAAAATTTCGAATATGGTAATAAATTTAAATTATCCTAAAGGCTATCAATCCAGGTATGGTAAGGCCATAACTCAGAAAATTTCGAATACAGTAATTATATGGTAATAGATTTCAATTACCTCAAAGGCTATCTCTACTCGTAATGGAGGAGTCTGCGGTCGTGATGGTCGGTTTCGTACTTTCGTTCGTCAGTCGTCGTCCCTTCCAATTATGTCGTCGCACACGAAAAAGGAAACAGATCCCGTTTTCCGATCCTCTCCAAACCAAATCAATGATGGGGCACCCCTCAAAAGAAAACCAACGCCCACATCCTTTGGGACTTCCAGCGAGAGGTCTAACCTATGCTCGCACGCAGCCCGCCGCCTCTCCCGTTGCAGAATGCCGCCGTCCTTTCGATGGCTCGCTGCCGCTGCCGCCGCCACCGTCCCGCTCGCTGCTGGCCACCTTGCTCGGTGCCTCCCAACGCCACCTCCCCTGCCTCCGTAATGGCGAAGGGTCCGATTCCATGGACACGGATCTGGTAGAGTGGTAGTGTTGAGAGGAGACCAAAGAAGGAGTAGGCGAATCAAGAAGCGGCAGTTGCATCAAGTCAACTCCAAGTCACAGGTACACTAATTATCTGGATTTTTGTCAATCCTCCTGATCGTGCTTACGCATTGGATGCAACTTTTGCCTGGCCAGGTGAATTGAAACTGATTTGCGACTGGAAGTAGTAAACCAATATAGCTTCATAGTTTTGGCGTACTCAGATGAAGCGACGGGTTAAGCAAACATGCAGTTGCAGAACTGTCTTGGCTGCTGGTCGTGTGGGGTTAATTAGCGCATGCATTGGCACAGCCATCCAGCTGCAACGGCGTGCTTTTTGTTTGGAAAATTTTCTTTGGTCAAATATGAGAATGCTCTTGGTGACCAAAATGCACTACTTCTCAATCTCTAGCTGGTTTACCTGTGTGATGTGTAAGTTTAGCTGACATGATGTTAAAATTGTAAGACAAGATCCTCAAAACCATGTTTACTATTTCAACAAAATTAGAGAAACTACCAGGATAAGCAATGCCTTGCTTGGTGCTGATTTCCCAAAATTAGCAAAAAAGAAAAAAACCAAGTACATAAAAATTTGGATGTGCTCTGAGAGTCAAAGCGAGGAGCGAAGACCCAGAAACAATTAATGTGGAGATAAGGAAACCTGCGGAGGAAAGGAAAATAACAATTTCCCATTAAGTTGCCATATATTTAACTTCAATGGTTGCAGATCCACTGTTTATTTATCTCTAGGTTCCTTGTGGCGGTATTCTTCAGGGTGATAATTTCGTTGCTTGTAGTATAGTACTAAAAACCCCAGTGGGATTATATGACTGTCATATATATAAATGAATTGTTTGTTAAAAACACACGCACAAAAGTGGAGCTTCTTAGAGGAAGTCATTATCTAATATATATACTATTAAAGAAATGTTGCTACATTGCCATTTCACACACAACCATTAATGCAAAAACAATTTAAAAACCAAGTGCTGAATCAATTTCAAAATCAAGCCATTAATGTAATTAGTTAGTCAGGCAGTTAATTATGTGTGCAATTAATTAGGTCTATTTAAATAAGAATTTTTTTGCATTGAATCAATTCAAAAACCGAATCATTAATTCAACTAATTAATTATACATCCAGTTAATTAGGATTGTGTACAATTAGAAATAGGGATTTTTTGAATTAGACAAATAATTAGTTAAATAGGCAAACAATTAATAGGCATGCAGATAATTAGGCATGCCATTAATTAGGCATGTTATTAATTAATTAGGCAGGTAGTTAATCGTGGCGAATCAGTTTGAAAGCGTTGTGGGCGAGGACGGCCAGTAGCTAGGCTATCGCTACCATTGGTGACTGCCAACATGCTCTCAACGACATGGTTGGCCAGCGTTTGCCAACATAGATAACAACCACCACTCCTCGTGACATGAGCGACCAAGCATTCGTAAAGATGGATGATGACCGTCGTCCACACACTGATGGTTGCCAAAATGTTTGTGGTCGAGGATAACAGATGCCATAGAACAAGATCAACAGTCGCGTACTTGAGGACGACCAAGCACTAACGGTCGAGGGTTCCGACCGCACCCGCAAGGACGATGGTGATGACCTACGACAATCGGTCACACGCCACCACTACCACTCTTTAAATATTATTTCATCCCGTAGCAACCCACGGGTATTTAGCATCATATATGTGAGATCACTTCCCTAAAAGACAGATATAAGTTTTTTCTCGATCTCCTTTCATAATAAAATAATATATTACTTCATAACAAATTGCTAATCCCCATGCTATATTATTTATTATTATCATTATCTCTACTATTAATTGACAGTCACAAGTTTTCTATGGGCGTACGCATACGCCCGCTCTTGCGGAGGGACGTCGTGCACGACACCATGGAAGATGTCATGGCTGGGTCTAACCCTGGCGCGATGCTCGAGAATGCCAGGGAGTGGATCACGGCATCAAGGACGACCGTGACGGGAGGTGGCTCGTCAGACCGCCATGTGGACGCGGTCATATTATATTTCTTGTCAGTCAAATAAAAAGCTAGACAAAAAGCTAGACGGCTACATTCTCAAATCAAATGTGTCCATTTAAATGTCAAGAAATTTATTAAGGAAATGTGTCCTACATTACTCGGTAGTCATCGTCATAGTCGTTTGGTAGCAGCCATTCATGCGAAAATAATTTAGAAATCGAGCACTAAACCAATTTGGAAATCAAACCATTGATGCAATTAATTAGGTCCATTTGAATATGAATTTTTTCGCACTAAATCAATTTAAAAATTGAGTTATTAATGCAATTAATTAATTTGTTAGCCAATGCCTACAGATAATTAGAAGTAGGGATATTTCCAATTAGTCAGATAATTAATTGATTTGGTTGGCAATTAATTAGGCATGTAGAGAAATAGGTAGGTCATTCATTTTTTGTGTACTTAATTAATTAAGCAAGCAATTAGTCATGGCGAATCATTTTGAAAGCGCTTGTGGGCAAAAACAATCAACGGGCTCTCAGTTACATTGCAAAGCGCCGAGCACCGCTTGCCAACATGGACAACGACCACCATGCGCTCGCGACATGGGCGACCTAGCATTCACCAAGATGGATGAAGTCTATGCTCCGCGGGATGTCCACTCGATGACGGTGGCCGAAATGTTCGCGGGTGAGGACAACATGACACAACACTAGCTAGGTGGTTCATGCTATAGTAAAAAGGAAGAGTGTTCCAAAAACAAGAAGGAAAAAGAACTGAAGCCAAAGTGATGCATGGTGTTGGAGAAAGTAAGAGTGTTCCAAATAATAAGAGAAAAAAAGAAAGAAAGAGTATTCTAGGAAATAAGTAGGAACGAGAACTAAAGTTGCCGAGGAATGAGAAAGAAGAAGATGAGGCATCGATGATGAACACATTAATGTTGACGTGGTGCTGGTTGGTGCCAATTAAACGGATTGGCGAAGAGGCATGGAGTAGAAGACGTAGGGAAATATGAAAAAGAGAAAAACGACAATTATCCCTTCTAGCATATGTGGGATGGAGGTGGAGCTTATTGGTGACTAGGAAAGATCTCTATAGTTATTTGTTGTTTTGTGTCAATAGTATGTGTTAGTTTAACCCACTCTATTATATCGTAAACAAGAAAATTTCATCCTTACTACAATGCATGGCGAAGATGAGTTGGCTGTCATATGCTTTTAAAGGAGGTGGCGCCAGTGAGACAAAAAACGAGAAATGTCTCGCTACGGCGGAAAATCGGTCAAGAATGAGGGGTTCCGACTGAAAAAGGGAAGGTAAGTCATTGGATAGGGTTTTTGTGTTGAACCCGGATGTTACAGATATTGCGGATAGCCCGTAGCAACGCACGGGCATTCTGCTAGTGCACATTAATAACTTACTATTTGCCTCTACTACATCTCTCATTTTGGCCAGGCATGTTAACACAGTCAGACTTCACTTGGAAGGCAACAGCCGCATTCAGTTGGATAGTCACACCTGACTCTATTTGTAGTATCTCATTGCAAAAATGTACCAATGTAGGTGTAGCAATCTCACCTTGAATAATTCATGATGTTTAGACAGACCCCTCATTTTCTGAAGAAAAAAATTCTCCTTTTCCTGTCATTTCTATTTGTTCTCAAATAGGTTCACATTGAATGGAGTTACATTGCAAAATGCTAAATATGTAGTGAGGGCACAAAAAGTTTCAAGCTCCACTTAATGAAGCAATCGTTATGTGAGAGAGATTTTTTACAGTGTGATTTGGCAGAGTAGTAACAGATAAGATCAGCCGTCCAATCATTGGCCTTTTAGGATTTTTACATTCACGAATTTGATTTTGATTTTATTTTCTCAGGGTTAATATGCTCCAAGTTACCTAGTCTATTTTCTTCTATCCTGATTCTCTTTATATCAGAATGAGAAATGCCTGTCAAGTCATGTCCACTTGATTATCTCTTTACTGTCAGCAAAAATTACTCAGAATCTTTTATGCAGCATCCAGTTATATACTAGCTATCACGCTTTTTTAACTTCGGCAATTACACTTTATTTATTCCTCAACATGTCATCATGTTTCATTATAAACGGGAGCATCATACAACCTTTTGAATACCGTACGAGAGCACTATATTGTTGTTGCTAAGGTTTTTGTCTATGTCGATTCGAACTTTATTCAGAGACGTGAATCGATGATGACAGACTCAAGGTCCTGCATCCTGTCGCACTGTGCACGGACCCATCCGATACGGTTGACCTCGTTGTCATATATCACAAACAGATCCTGCATCGTAACATCTGCAAAATAGAAGATCACATAAAATCTTTAAAAACACGCAAGGCTTACTAGTTTCAGGACATAGACAATTTATATCTAAATCTGAGCTTCATACCTCCAATTAAGATGAGATGCCTCAGAACACGATCCGACGAGCCATCGAGGATGGCCAAGCACGCATTCCCGTCTTTCTGCCACGGAACATACAGAGACATGTTAACCATTGTCTTTAATTACCTCCAATGATTCATTGTCCAGTGATGCTTAATTGCTTATCAGTTGGGCTATTGAATGTTTACCGTCACGATGAGGTAGTTTTCAGGAGGGATGTCCAGGTTGCTGGTGCCGCGGGCATGGGTAATTTTTAGCGACAGTGGCTTGAATTCATTCTTCACATCGTCGACAGATCTGAATGGCATTTTTCCTTTCCAGCATTGAGGCAGAGCACGATCCTTCACCACTTTAAGTGATGATTTATGGAGGGTGTCTTGAACCTGAAAGAATCAAATGTCATGAGTTCCATGTTTATTATCTCTATTTAAATGTATGGGTGGTTTGAAATCTACCTTTGAAACAAGGCCATTGTATATCTGGCCAGGCGTGTAGGTGTAGGTGGCTCCACTGTCAAATACTGTGGTGAATGCTGGACTGCCTCTTATCGGCTGTTCATCATAGAGCAGTGTTGCTGGGCCGGGTGAGTAGTAAGGCCTGGGAGAAGACGATGGTATAATGTTTGGAACCAATTGAACAGAAAACAACTATCAACATAGTCTTCTCTAACTACACATGTTAGATTGATGCAATGCTAGCATGGGCACGGAAACCACAAACCAAAAATGAAAGCCGTGATCAGAAACAAGAAGTTCATGAGCGATAATTCTTACAATGATGTACTCATGGGTGCCCAGGTGACGTCGCCTGGGGGCAGCCTGAAGTCCCCAATGTAAAGGTTCCCATTTCCATGGATGCTGAGGCAATGTCCAATGACATTCCTGACTATCTTCTTTTGTGCCTTGAGTTGAGCGACAAATCCTACACTTCCCCTCCCGAGTCCAAGGATGCCATCTACCGCCGGTGGCGATGGCTGCTCTAATGGCTCCTCCTGCTCATATCCACATCTGTGCAAAAAGAGAGTGACAATGCATCATCATCAACATCCAAATCCAGGTGGGTACTGAGCATGCAACATTAGTATTCAGTTAGCGCAGTACCCGAAAACGTAGTTCATATCATCTCTCCTATTGATAAAGATCATGTCGTTGGCAAGGTCGCCTTTTGACCTCCCGGAGACATATTGGATATCATAGTGGCATCGATGTGGATCGCTGTTGGGGCATTGAGGACTACCAGGCTGGTCTTTGCGCAGTTGAGCACATATCCAGCTGTCACATCTCACCATCAAGTTATGAGCTGCTGGCTTGTAATATGGGTGTGGTGTCCTCTGGCAAAACAAAGCAATATATCAAGATTGTGTAGTACATTCTTTACCAATATCCTTGGATTGAACACGTAGCTTTAAACACAGAGTATTACAAGTGCAAGATAATATGCGATATTGCAGAATCAAGTGTAGTTACCTGGTTGCAGCCCTTGCAGCCGTGATCCGGGTGCTTACACTCCAGCCAAGTGAGGTTGCTGCCAGTGTCGATGTCCAGGAAGTAGGGCTTCAAGGGCTTACCAATCTGCAACGTAGCATAGAAGTGGCTGCAGAGGTACAGAAAAGAGTGTCAAATATACGGAGAAAACCTCAAGTCTGATAAGGGATTAGAGAAACATACCCATCAGGGTAGACGTTGCCTATGAGTGGGAACTTGATGGCGGAGGAGGGCCCGAGTGGGAGTAGGAGAAGGAGGAGACCGATGATCGGACACCACATGGCAGCCATGATGGGGGAAGAAGGCAAATCTGTGGTTTACAATCTGGGCTCTCACTTCTTCTCTGCTGGAACTCTGTTTCTTTGGATGGTGCGAACAAGGTGGTGAGGTATTTATAGCCGTTGGCTGCCAAGCTTAGTTTCCTCTGCTTTGTGTGCCTTAATTTCTTTTTCTTACGCATTTTTTGTGGGTTTTTAATATTGATTTTCTTCTCAAGTCATGTATATTCGGGCTTAGCAATTTCTGTGGGCCGCAGGTACATATGTATAATTATATTCTCTAAAAACTATAATGAACAAACTGCACTATTAGTGCCGCACTAGAGTTACCTCACTACTATGTCCTTGTTTGGAGAATAGAAAAAAATTCAGACAATTAATTTAAGTGTCGACAAGAAGGTTTAGACACCAAAATATTATTTTGGGTTTACATAATTATATCACTCAATTGAATATAATGGGTGGTCATATAATTAAACCACCCATCCATTTTTAAGAATTCACATAAACAAATGAGACCAGTAAATAGTGATGCTGCGCACGACACTCACAGATTTGTGATAGATCTACCTATTTTTAGGGCTAGATGACTTAAACATTTCCACCAAGATACTGTATAGAAGATACATTTCAAATAAATGATGGCATGCCCAATGATACTTGTGTAGCAAGATAATGAAGTCCCACATTTTTCCAGCTCAAATTTTGACCTTGGAAATTTGAAAACCAATTCATTCCTGATAACTGCATAACTCATAATCAGTGTTTCCCAGTATGCTAGAGTAGAAAGGTTCCCATTCTGTCTAGACCATTCTTTAGGCACACTTTCCACAATTATGTTCGCGACGAAATGTTACATTGCAAAATATGCACTAATGACTCATTGTGGAAATTGCAGGCATGTTATTATGAACAGGAAAAGCATACAGTTGAGTGACTTGCTAGTTGCCTCTACTACATCCTCATCTTTGTGACCACTCATCTCTCATTTTGGCCAAACATGTTAAGACAGTCCAGACTTTGTTTGGATGGCAACAGAAGCATTCAGTTAGATGTAACAAAGTGTAGCAATCACACCTCGAATAATTCATTATGTTTCGAAAGATTCTCCCATTCATTAACAAAGTGTAACAAAGTGTAACAGACTGAAAGGAATATTACATTGCAAACAACGTACAGTACTAAATATGTAGTGAGGACGGTTTCATGTTCCGCCCCATGAAGCAACAATTATTTGAGAGAGATTCCGTGGTGCAATTTTCTAGTGATTTGGGGGGAGTACTAACGGATCAGATCAGCCATTCATTCATAGGATTTCTAGGTATTTTACATTGACGAATTTTGAAACAATCTTGTTTGCCTCATTTTCCCAACCTGCTCCTGATGTTTCTTTTCTCTTGAAACTAACCTGATCTTTCTGCTACCTGAAATTGTCTCACAGTGGTACTCCACGCAGCATCATACTTCATCTGAAATCCTTTACGGCATGTTAATGAAACCAAATATTAATTATTCGATGGTTTGAAAATCTGAAGGGAAAATAAATGTGGAAAACAAGTAAAGCTCCAGAAATTTTAATGTCCAAACTAAACAAACTGAGCAGGACAGCCCTCATAAGCCTGTGTTAATGCTTTTCATAGTTTACACAAAATACAAAAATGAATCAAGCTGCATGTCATCCGCGGCCCAAATAAGCATATGGGCTCTCCAAACAGAGAAAGAAAGCAATCATGTTTGACTCATTCTTCCAACCTACTCTTGATTTTTCTTTTCACTTGAAACTAACCTGATCTTTCTACTGCCTGAAACTGTCTCCAAGTGGTACTCCACACAGCATACTACTTCATCTGAAACCATTTATAGCACGTTAGTTGATTGTAACTTTAACGAAACCAAATATTATTCACTGTACAACTCCAGACATTTTAATCTCCAAACTAAACAGACTGACCAGGATAGCCCTCATATCATAAGCTTATTAATGTTGTTCCATGGTTGACACAAAGTATACAAATTAATCAAGCTGCATGTCCACACACAAGACCTCCCAAGGTGAGCTCTGTCGAGGCGGTTTGTTCCAGATTGGAGGATCAAAAATCAGAAGGAAAAAGAAATAGAAATTCCAAGCAAGTCTAGTGCTAGAAAAAAGTTGAAGTGGCACTAGTCATTCCGAACAATCAACACAATATGGAGAGCTTTTCCGCAGAAAGAAATGAACTCTGAAAATTGGTCTAAAGTATAACAGCTCAACAATCTTAGGAGCTTGATCCTGTCAGGTTTCATTCAAAGGTAACAAAGACATATACAGAGCTTGATTAAGCTTTGCAGCCGGTCGATGGCAGCTTCTGATGCAGCTTTGTACATTATTATTTCTTAAATCGCATTTCAAGTATTTTACCATAACCAAAGATTGTAGTACAACCAACTAAAACAGACAGGTTGCAGAACTCTTGTGCATCTCGTCAAAACAAGTATGAAAGAGCTATTATGAAAGTTGGATCTGGTGATTCTGCATGAGGTAAGTTGCATAAAAAAATCTTCAGTAAACAGGTAGTATCAGACAAGAACAATACCAACAACTTCACTGAAAGAGCGGCACATCGGCGGCATGTCCAGGGAGCTGGAGCTCGCCGAGCTTGATGTGGCGGCGGGTGCTAGAGCCCCACCGCCCCTTTCTCCCCCCACCGCCGGCACCAGGCGGGTGCTAGGCATTCCTTCTGCCACTATGCCGCGCACTTGCCACCGACCGAGGGCCGCGGCACCTCTGTTCCCCTGAATCCGGCGTCGCGACTTGTACTTCCTGCCGCTCCTCCACCGCAGCTCCCCCCTGCCCCGCCGACGCTGCACCTCCTCCCCCGCAGGCAGCTCGCTGCCCGAGGGGGCTGGAGCCCGCGGAGGAGATGAGGCGGAAGAATGCTTCTCGTCTCCGGCGTCAGCCGATGGCGGCGCTGCATCCGCGGCACAAACGGGGAGGCGAGTTGGTGACTTACCATATGAACAGGAAGAGGATACAGGTTAGTGACTTACTATTTCTCTCTACTACATGATCATCCTTCTCTCCACTCATTCCTCAGTTTGGCCAGGCATGTTAATAGCAAAAATGCAAAAATGAATGGCAATAGCAGCAGTCACATTGAAAGGAGTATTACATTGCAAAATGCTAAATATGGGCGAAGACAATTTCAAGCTCCACTCTGTGAAGCAACAGTTATTTGAGAGGGATTTTTTATGGTCTGATTTGGCAGAGTAGTAACAGATCAGATCAGCAATCCATTCATTGGTTCTTCAGGAATTTTATATGGATGAATTTTGATTTTGATTTTTTTTTCTGAGGGTCAATATGCTCCAAGATACCTAGTCTGTTTTTTCTATCTTGATTCTCTCTACTGAAAATGCCTGCCATGCCATGATCCACTTGATTCTCTCTTTACTGTCAGAAAAAAATACTCAAATTCTTTTATGCAGCATCCAGTTATTAGCTATCACATTTTTTTAACTTAAGCGATTACACTTTATTTATTCCTCAACATGTCAACACGTTTCATTATAAACGGGAGCGCCATACAATCTTTTGAACACCATACAACAGCACTCTTTTGTTCTTGCTAAGGTTTTTTTCTATGTCAATTTGAACTTTATTCAGAGACGTGAATCCATGACAGACTCAAGGTCATGCATCGCGTTGCACTGTGCATTGATCCATCCGAGGCGGTTTTTGTCGTTGTCATATATCACAAACAGATCCTGCATCGTAACATCTGCGAAATAGAAGATCAAAATAGAATTCTTTAGAGACATGCAAGGTTTTCTAGTCTCGGAACCTGGACAATTTATATCTGAATCTGAGCTTCATACCTCCAATTAAGATGAGATGCTTCAGAAGAGGATGCGATGAGCCATCAAGGATGCCCAAGCACACATTCCCGTATTTCTGCCAAAAAACACGGAGAGATGTTAGCCATTGTCCTTAATTACCTCCAATGTTTCACTGTCCAGCGATGCTTATCAGTTGAGCTATCGAGATGTTTACCGTCACGATGAGGTAGTTTTCAGGGGGGATATTGAAGTTGCTGGTGACATGGTGTAACGCCCTCGATGCGGCTATAGCTCCCACGTGTCGAGGCACGACTTAGAGGCATAACCGCATTGAAAGCAATGTCGCAAGTCAGACAATCATTACAACATCCCATGTAATATATAATAAAAGGGGGAGATAACATAGTTGGCTTACACTCGCCACGTCACATCAGAGTGCATAAATAACATCCATCAAACAAACACTCATGGCCCGACTACGGCGCCAAAATAGAAAATAACCCAACATGCGACAAGGTCCTGAATCGATAACCCCAACCAGGCACCACTACTGATCATCGGGAAAGGAAACATAATAACGCTGAGAGTCCTCGTCAAACTCCCACTTGAGCTCGTACTCGTCACCTGGAGCGAAATCACCTGGACCTGCATCTGGAGTTGTAGTATCTGTGAGCCACAAGGACTCAGCAATCTCACACCCACGCGATCAAAACTATTTAAGCTCATAGGAATGGATAAGGCAAATATATGTGGAGCTGCAGCAAGCGACTAGCATATATGGTGGCTACAATCGCAAAAGAGAGCGAGAAGAGAAGGCAAAGCACGGTCGATACAAGTATGATCAAGAAGTGATCCTATAGCAACCTACGTCAAGCATAACTCCAACACCGTGTTCACTTCCCGGACTCCGCCGAGAAGAGACCATCACGGTTACACACGCGGTTGAAGTATTTTAAATAAGGTCAACTTCGGGTTTTCTACAACCGGACGTTAACAAATTCCCATCTGCCCATAACCGCGGGCACGGCTTTCGAAAGTTCAATCCCTGCAGGGGAGTCCCAACTTAGCCCATGACAAGCTCTCACGGTCAACGAAGGAATAGACCTCCACCCGAGACATTCCGATCAGACTCGGTATCCCGGTACAACAAGACATTTCGACAGGGTAAAACTAAACCAGCAACACCGCCCGAATGTGCCGACAAATCCCGATAGGAGCTGCACATATCTCTTTCTCAGGGCACACTCAGATTGTCCTAGGTACGGGTAGGCCAGCCCAGAGTTGCCCCTGGTAGCCACCGGTAGCTGACAGGTGGACCAACACTCAGAGGAGCACTGGCCCGGGGGGGGGTAAAATAATGATGACCCTTGAGTCTGCAGAACCCAAGGGAAAGAAAAGGCTAGGTGGCAAATGGTAAAACCAATGTTGGGCATTGCTGGAAGAGCTTTACTTAAGACGAACTGTCAAGGGGTTCCCATAATAGCCCAACCGTGTAAGGAACGCAAAAATCCGGGAACATAACACCGATATGACGGAAACTAGGGCGACAAGAGTGGAACAAAACACCAGGCATAAGGCCGAGCCTTCCACCCTTTACCAAGTATATAGATGCATTAATTAAGTAAGGTATATTGTGATATCCCAACAAGTAAATAAAAGTTCCAACAAGGAACGGCTCCAATCTTCCACCTGCAACTAACAACGCTATAAGAAGGGCTGAGCAAAGCGGTAACATAGCCAATCAACGGTTTGCTAGGACAATGGTGGGTTAGGGGATCACATGGCAATTGGGAGGCTGACAAGCAAAAGGTAGGCATCGTAGCAGTGGCAAAGCAAAAGAGCGAGCAAACTAGCATAGCAAAGATAGTAGTGATTTCGAGGGTATGATCATCTTGCCTGCACAGTTGTCAGAGTTGACTGGATCCTCGCAAGCAAACTCAACGGGCTCCTCGGTAGCGAACTCGTCTCCCGGCTCTACCCAACAAGACAAACAAGCAACAAGGATACAATCAACCACGGCAAGACCAAGCAATATGATGAAATAACGATATGCTATGCGGGATGCGATGCGGGATGCAAAATGCAAGATATGACAGAAAATGCATGAACCTGACATCAACTTGGAAAACCAAGTGTGTCACTGGATAGAGGGGATGAAATCGCTTGAAAACGATATAAAGATCATTGGAATCGGAGCTACGGTTTGGAAATGGCGAGCGTTTTAAGATATGACACCGGTATGCGATTTACAGCAAGTAGGCATCTAAATGCAACGAAATGAACATGCTACAGCCACCAAACATGAAAACAAAATACATGGCAGTGATGTACACAAGATAGTTGACAAAACACTAGCACTGAGCCATAGGCAAATTCATCCATTAAGAGGTTCAAACAAGCATGGCTAAAACGCAAATGCAAAACAGATTTCAGACTTAGTGAAATTAACACTAGTCTGAAATTTCAGATCACGATGCTCACTTCGGAGCAGCAAAACAACATGATAGAAAACCTGAACATGACAAGTAAGAACATGGCATGGAGCTACTCAACAAGCTTTAAAAAACACTCAAAGTGACCTGGGGCCAAAAGGGTTCACAAAATACTCTACCGAGCTCACGAACATAGCTCGAACACAATCAGTTTTAAGACTTAGTGAAAACTGAGACATGCTGAAATATAACTCACGAAGGCATGTAAACGAGCTCGATGCACTCACTACGGTGCAATTCATGGCAAGGAAAGCATATAACCAGCAAGAAGGCACAAAGTGCTAGCTACACATGGCAAGAACGAAGGCATAGCATGCATGGAACACTAACGGTAGCATCGGCAAAATCGCAAACAAGTTGACGATCTGCCCGGATTAACAACGAAGCAAAAGTTGAGCTCGATTGAGTCAATCTAGAGCACTCCACAAATGCAAATAAAGACATGGATGGATAGAGCATAACATAAATATCAAAACTCTCTTACTGATCATCCTCAAAAGAGGCACAGATCACTAGGAAAACAAGCTGGACATATAGCATCATGAACTAAAATATCCCAGACTTAGTGAAATCACTAAGTCCCTGAAATCTGCAATCTCAAGTACCTCTCTTCGCAGGCTTGCACAAGACAACACACACATCCTAAAAATGCATGGGTGGCACCACTGGAAAGAAGACAAAATGCTTAACAATTCATCCCAAAGGGGCACAGGCATATCATGCACGAATTAAACATAGCAAAAATGACAAAAGTGCATGATGAACTAACGGATCTGCAATTTAACTCACGAAGCCTCCTTCTAACAGCATTTTGGGCAACAAGATGACCTCAAATGCAAATGATGCAATGGAATGAAATGATGTACATGTCGAGACGAAAATTTTGATATATCATACGCCCAAAACGGAGCTACGGTTGCAAAGTTACGGGACCTCGAACAGAGCAACTTGGATCAAAAATTTCCGGGACTTAGAGAAAATTATACCTCCGCGAAAGTCAACGCGGGACGGAGGGATCCGGGACAGAGCGGTGCAGATCCGGGGGTGGCGTTTGGTTGGACGCGCGGGTGGATCTGATCCCGATCCGGATCGGACCTGCACGTGGATCGAGGTTCGTCGGGAAACTTCACCGGAGAAGAGCAACGAGACCGGCGGGGAGGCGCGGTCGCCGGGCCGGCGACGGGCGACGAGCGGCAGCGTGGAGGCGGCGGCGAGCTCCGGCGTCGAGCTGGGCGGCTCAGGG